GGGAGGGGAAGATATGAGAGAAGAAAAGAGTGAAAGAGAAAGAGAGAGTGAAAGAGAGAGAGAGAGTGTGTGTGTGTGTGTGTGAGAGATGGAGAGAAAGAGAGACTAAGAGTGAGTGAGTGAAAAAGGGAGAGAAAAAGAGAGAATGAGTGATAGAGGGAGAGAGTGAGTGAGTGAAAGAAGGAGAAAGAGAGGAAGTGAGAGAAAGAGAGTGAGTGAAAGAGGGAGATAGTGAGTGAAAGAGAGACAGATAGTGAAAGAGAGAAAGTGAGTGAAAGAGGGGAGAGAGAGTAAATGATGGGAAGGAAAGAGTAAAAAAGGGAGAGTAAGTGAAGGAAACAAAGGGAGAGAGTAAATGAGAGAAAAAAGTATGAAAAAGGTAGAAAGGAGGGAGAGAGGAGAGAAAGAGAGTATGAAAAAGGGAGAGAGAGGCAGATAGGAGAGACAGAGTATGAAAAGGTAGAAAGGAAGGATATAGGAGAGAAAGAGAGAGAGTGAGTGAGAGGGAGAAAGAGGGAGTAAGTGATCAAGGAAGAGAGAGACAGTGAGTGAGAGAGTGAAAGAAAGAGAGAGAAACAGAGTGAGTGATAGAAGAAGAGAAAGAGAGAGACAGTGAGTGAGAGTTAGTGAAAGAGGGAGAGAGAGAGAGAAAGTGTGAAAGAGGGAGAAAGAGAGGGAGATAGAAGGAGAGAAAGCGAGTGAGTGAAAGAGGGAGAGAGAAGGAGTGCAGAGAGAGACTTTGTGAATTTGTAAGTTCCAGGGTTTCCTTCTTCATTCTTGGGAAATGAGATCACACATATTCTCCTAATTATTTCAGATTTCTCTGCCAGTGAAGTCACTACAACCAGATGAGCAGTATCATCTTACACGCTGCAGAGAACACATCTCAGCCAAGCCTGCTGGCTGTAGGTGTAAATGCTCAGTAATAGCTGAAGGTAAGTGCAGTATCTCATGCGTGAAACGTCCATGTCCGCTGTGAGCCCACCCTGCCCTGTCATTCAGAACAGGGCTAAGTAGAAGCCAAATCAGAACCAGATGTTCAGCTCTGTAAAAACACTACACGCACACACATCAGATTTCATGCTTCTAATATTTGCTCCAATATGCACTGATGTGTTTTTGTTTCTGTTCTTTCCCCTCCTTCACCTTTTCTTTCCCCTCCTTCACCTTTTCTTTCTCCTTCTTCCCCTTTTTGTTTTCTTCATTAACAACTACAAAGCAACAGAACGCAAATCACTCTTTTGGAATTTTCCACCAACCACAAAACATCTTGTTTACTGAGGCACAATTTTGCAGACTGTTAAACTGTGAGTCTGAACTTGTGCAGGTCCATAACTGTCCACTCCACATCACCTGCTGCCCCCCTCCCAATTAGGGCGCCTACCTGCAGATATCTGACCAATCAGGAGCAGCAGGAGAGCAATGCAGGTGGAGCAGCGGGCCATAGCGCAGAGCCAACACACCGTCCAGCTACAGAGAGAGAACAGACCAATTTAATAAGTTATTTGACATGGATAATAAACATTATAGTACAGTATAAGCATTGCTACATAAAGATATGACAGCAGTGATGTATATAGAGCTTCTAGCCAACATCCTTTTTAGCCCCTTTCTCTGTTTAGGCTTTTACACATGAGATTAGACAGACACAACAGCATGCAGAGTAAACACCAAACAAGTTTAAAACAAAGCTGTGTAGATGTTTCTGAGTATCCATAGACTAAAGAGGAGAGGCCAAACATCTGAATTACCCCAAAACACAATCAGAACAAGACAGTAATTCATGCATTCACAAAAGAGAGTGAGGTAATAAACTGAGAGGAATTTACCGTAAAGTTGTAGAGGGCTTCTAGCTGTGTGTAACCCTGTTTCTTTCTCTCTCGCTCTCTCTCTCTCCCTTTTTCACTCTGCGTTCTGCCTCTTTTCCCAATGAAAACACTGAGTAGAGGACAAAAGTGTTCTCTTTTTGGAGAAGGGTAATGCGAGAGAGTGTGAGAGAGGGAGAGAGAGAGATAGAGGGAGGGAAGGGGCTGGGTGGGTGTGCAGTTGTGCAGTGGGCCAGTGGGGTGGGACTATTTTTTTTCCAGCAAAATTGAAACAGAGCTGAAGCCAAGCCAACCAGCCTCAAGAAATATGAACAGGGAAGGTATGCGTGTGCTTTGGCCTGAGGCAACTAGTAATCCAATAAAAAGGACACAACCATTCAATCATTATGATTACATATGATACACAGTCTCTGTTTACTATTCCCAGCTTATGCTGAGAGGGAGAGATACAGCACTGTGCACAATGTATTCAGTTTTCAGTCATTCAATTTTCAGGAGATATTACTGAGAAGATTAGATAGAAAACAATTCACTTGCACAAGGAAGAGTCCGGCCAAGGAAAGTCAAGGAAAATAAGTGAAAGAAACAGGACTTTCCAAAGCTGGAGTTCAAAAAAGTATTAAGAAATATTGCGAACCAACCAAAACTGTCACCATCAGATAAACAGTACGTAAAGCTCTCATCTTTGAGAGAGAGGAGAAAATCACTCTTGCTGCAGATCTGAAAAAAATCCACGAGTGTTTCTGTCCATCCTTCCTCTGTGAGAAGATAACCAAATGTTATGGGTCTGATAGGATGTGTCGCTGTCAAGAAGCCAGTACTGAGAAAAGGAAATAGACACAAAAGAAGAATATTTGCAAATAAAGAAGTTGCTGGTCTTCTCAGAATAATGGACTGACCACCCCAGAGTCCAGACCTCAACATCACTGAATGTGTTTGGGATAACTTGGAACTTCTAAGACTGAACTTTGGAGGTGTGGAAAAATATCCCTGCAGATTTCTTTGAAAAGCTGAAAGTCTCCTAAAAAGAATGGAAGCTGTAATAAGGGCAAAGAGTGGACACTACATACTGAAAAAATCATATATTTAGTTTAGTTGTTAATTTCTCTGTTAAATATGTTTTCTGCTGTTTTCTTGACGTGGAAAAATGAATAACCCGTTTTGACTGGAAATTAAATAAATGAAGGGTGGTCATAGATAGACAGAGAGAGATAGAGAGAGAGAGAGAGAGAGAGAGAGAGAGAGAGAGAGAGACTGCAGTGCAAACATGTCCATCTCTATTAGGCCGGACGGTATTTGGCATGGTCTGATAGTCATGCACTGTCTAGTCCCATAAGCCTGAGAAAGGATAAACAGAGGAAGGAAAAGGACTTTTACAACAAATGCTACAACAAACCGTAGCTGGCAAACTGAAAGTTTATAGTGGTAAAAAACAAAGTAAAGCAATAATAATAATAATAATAATAATAATAATAATAATAATAATGTAACAGAATATACAACATGGTGTGCATGTCTAAATGTTTAAAGTAATTAGCTTTAAAAATCATAATTTTAACTAATTTTCATAGTTGAGATCACTAAATAAATAAATAAATCAGCCAATAGTAGCAATGTAATGAGTATAAAACGTAACACACAAATCACGACCAGCACTTGCTGGATTCTATGATTTTCACAGAAGTTATGGGCCAACATGTGAACAAGATTTTGTTCAGCATGCTGAAGAGCTTGCTTTGGTGTCATGAACATGAAATAGACAAGCTCCTTTCTTACCTGAGCCTGCTTAATCCGAGTGTATACACACACACACAAGCTCACACACTCATGTGGACACTCACTGGCCGTTCATCCCTCTGTCCTCACACTCTCATCACACCTGCAGTGCGTGCTTACAGTGGGGACACAGTAAAGAGGAAGAGGAGGATGGGAAACCCCACCAGCAGCCTGTCCAGGAAATGGAAGAACAGTTTGGCCAGAGAGTCTTTAAGACATAGCCAAGTGAAACAAAGGTTTCTCAGAACAGATATAACTGTAGAATAGAGATAGACTCCCAGTGCATATGGCCATTTAAGGCTTAAATGTTGTGAACATGCAGTTTTTTAATGGAAAGGGTTCATGAGGTTTACTGATCATATTCTCTAAAACAGAAACTGACCCCAGCAGTGAAATCACCTGTTTTTCAGGAACAGTTTAGATCAGCTCTTTGGCAAGTGGCATGTCCGAGAGGGGCTTAAGCTGGCTGTCCATTCTCACTGTCCTGTGGTATTCCGGGAGTGTCAGTACTGGCCTTATCTTTATGCCAGTAAGCACTAACTTGCACTGCTTTCTCTGAGTTGCATAAGGAAAGCTTTGTGTATTGTAAACAGAAGTTGTTGAGTGAACTTTAGCCTTTCTCCTCAACTGTCCATGGACATCTCCAGCTCTGCATAACCTGGCACAAATTTAAACGTAGTTTGGTATTTCCTGGACGTTTGGACTCATTTTCAAAACATTTGTAACATGGTTTTAAGTTATTGCACTACTGGCCTCAGAATCCCTCTACAGATTATAGTTTATGTACAGCAACCTGTAACCATAAGTTTTGTTAAATTCACTGATGAGATTTAACCTAGCTTGTCATTTTGATCATTAGAAAATGTTCTTTTCCTAAGTAGTTGAAAAAAACAAACATTTCTACTGAGATTGAATCCACCTGAAGTCTGGATTGAACTAATAATCAGATCCTTATTAGCTTTAAAAAATAAACTTTAAAATAAGTACTTTAAAATAAACAAATAATTTAAAATAATTAGCTTTTAGTGGTAAAAAACAATTAAAGCCGGAATTGAAAATCACGCTGGACTTGAGTAATCAGTATGGTCAGAGAGCTCAGGGGTGGAGGTGACTCCTCACATCTGATCCTGGCTGAAGAGGATTTGGCCAGTCCTGATGGTCAGCCACACAGGTCTGGGGGTGCAGTGGCCTCGCCCCGTGATTGTCCGGCCTTTTTCCCAGACCCAAGGCCTAGGATGATTGCTTCTCAGATAAGCATTAAGTCTTTATCTATCCCGTTAGAGCGTCTGATTAGCCCACGTCACAGGTCAGTTTAAACCAGGTCCAGGACAGGAATAGAGCTCAGAGCTTGGAGAGGAGGGGTGGGGAGGCTAGAAGAGAGGCTGGCATTTGCTTGTGGGTAATCCCTCCTTAAATAGCCTCACAAGGCAAGCGAGGGCTGTGCAGTACGACTGTGTGAGAGGGAGGAACAGGAACTCTAGTGCATTCTCTTGTGCAATCCAAACACATTCCTTTACACAGGAGAGAGGAAACCCTCACCAAAGGAGATCCTGGAACTACTTGCATAGAGCATCAACTCAAGATCCAGGATGAACTTTGCTGCCCAGTTTTTCTATGCAAACTACAGGGGTGAGGGATCTCTACCACGGAGACGATTCAGTGACAGCGAGGAGTATGACCCCTTCTGGCAAAGGTGGGAAGAGTCTGAATCTCAAATTCCTAAAGAGCCTCTAAACCTCAAAGATACCGAGTGTCTCCTTGAGTCAACAGATAATGGTGACAGCTCAGATAATGCAGCTTCTGGATGTTCCTCTCAACCCACCACCTCCTCTAAAGACTTTGTAGTTGCTCAAACCCCTAGCCCTGCTGCTTTTCCTACCTCAGGTCATCCCAACCAGTCAACTGTGTCGTCCCAAAAACTGCCTAAATCTTGCAAGTTTGCTCCCTCCACAGTAGCCCTTTCCTCCCAAAAATCTTCCACTGTAGTGGACGAATTATCAATCAAAAAGCCTCAGCCCACTTCCTCCAACCTTCAGACTGGTTCCGACAGATCTGACAAATCCTGGAATGGTGCAACACAGTTGACAAAGAGGGCGTCTTCTCCTCAAGTATCTCCTTTTCCAAAGTCTAAACCTTCTTCTGGTCCTCCTCGTCCTTCTGTATCTGCAACTCAAGGTCCTCCATCTCTCCCCAGCCTCCCTCCATCCCTGCACCTGTTTAATGCTCCAGGGAGTAGGACCCTCCTGCCTGCATTCCACATGCTGATGTGCTTAATCCTCCGCCTGTTCCTCTCCTTCATCCTCCTGTTCCTGCCATGGTAAAAACACTGACTTATCTAAGCTAAAACAAGAACAATAGCACAGAAGATGGATAGTTAAAAGCAGTAATGCTGGAGTAATGTTTTAGGTTTAACCAGAGAAGAAGGAAACTGGAGAGAACAACAATGAATACAAAAGTTAGAGCATTGGAACAGTGCTGTGTCATAGACAAGGTGAGACTGCCAGGGCATTGAGAATGGGGTGAAAGGTCACCTCTGAGAATAAATCAGGACTGATGGGATATTATTAGAGCTTAGAAAGGCTGGGAACCAGTGCCAAACTGAGATCACATTGAAAAATTGGCAACAAATTCACTCCACCTGGTGGTTTGGTCTGCTGCTATTTGGAATGGATTAGTTCCTTAGAAGCGTTCATATTTATAAGCACAGAACCAAAGCACATTTGGTGATAACACTTGCAGTGAACCTTTCTTCATTATTCAACAGCCATGTGGTCTTTTTCTTTGGATGATTTCATGTTGGACCATATTGTCCACCTCGAAACCAGCAGTCTGGTTCATTCAGTCCGATCAGCTATTTTTTGTAGGCTATATATATGCTTTAATAAAGATGCACCAGCGTTGGTTATCTCTTATTTTGCAGAATACAGTTCAAAGACGACACAGAGGGGAAAGTTAATCTGCATAACACATGCTTACCCTCAGTCTTTGGCTTTGGTGATTCAGCCAAAGCATTTGGCAGGAATCAGTGATGGGATTCTCTTTTCTTCACATTGTCACCATAGATCACTTTCTCCAGGCTTATGTCTCTTGGCAGCCTTTCCCAAGATTAATCTAATCTCAGTTGAGCAATAAAGGTTGGACAGCAGAGCACACAATTAAGTTTAGATTTCCACCTCATTTAATTCTTTCCTAACTCTTTTTGTAAATGAAGGAAAACGCTGGTTTGTTTCTTTGTATTCTGATCAGGATCTATATGTTTCTAACAGTGAGGAGGAGCATTTGGGCGCCAGCAAAAAGAAATGCTCTACTCATGATGGTCAGTGCCACAAAGATGGCCCCATCAGCAATGGAACCCTTGCTCGTCGGCCCACCCTCATCTGTCCAGAGCGTCTCAGAGACTTTGGTGCTGAGGAGTACCTGAACGGGGATGTGAAGACCTTCGAGACCACAGTTATAGGAGGACCTGAGGTGCAACTAATGGCTCCTCCCAAACCTTCCATCAAGAGGAACAAGGAGTACAAGTCTGCACCTAAAGCTCCTGTGGAGTACCTCCGGTTTGAGGACATCAGTGCAGCATCATTAAAAATCCAGCAGGCGGGAATTCAGAAGACCCCTTGCACAGTACGTGAATCTAACCCAATTATTTTTGGGAACTGACCACTTGCTTCAGTCAGGGTCTGTACAAACAGTCTGACAACTTATTCTCCAGCCTAAAATTCTAAGGACTGGCCCAACATCAATATCCAAACAACAATCTCCCACCAGCCAGATTTTTATCTAAACACACAAGAGCAAGTGTAAATAGAAAGAGAAGCCAGCATCTGCTGCTTCAAAAATGTGCTGAAGTGTAAAATGTGATTTACTAAGGGCAAGAAACTAACATCAAAGCTCACATTACACAGTATTTTTCAGGAGAAGCAGGAGGAGGTTAGGCTCTGGTTATGTTTTTCTGGTTTTCTTCCTGGGCCTGAAACCAACATGCTGGTTGAGCAGGGTGGGTTTAGGAAGTATGAAAGCTATTCAGAGGGATAACACTAAGTAGTCAGACCTTCATCCAACATTGCTGCAGAGCAGACAAGTTATACTTTTGCATTTCAGTATTCCAGACTATCCAAACTGTATGGCATGGAGATTTATCTGAAGAAGGAGCACCTCCACTACACAGGCTCAGTGAAGGAGAGAGGAGTTCTATACCTGCTCTCTTCACTGAAACAGGTAACAGCTTTATTACTGTATTACTCAACACTCACCCTTTATTTAACCACCATTAGACCACGTACCAAATGTAATAAGGAGGAGACCTGGTAAAAATGGGAAGCACTTGAGTTAGGATTAGAATGCCTTTTAGTATAGATCATGTGCTTCTTGAAGAAAGACACCTTTAGATCATAATAACCAAAGTATATGGACAACTCTAACCAATAAGTTCAAACTGCGGCAGTTTTGTCACTACTGAAACACATTCTGTAATTAAGTAAACCTTTTTGTGTTTTAATAAAAACATTATGATTTTTTTCTGTGTACAACTGTTCAAAGATGTGTTTGCTTGTCCAGTACTGACTAGCATTTTTGAGTTATGCTCAAAATTAGCTAACATTTTCACCACTGAAGGAGTCACTACCGAAACATTTGGTAATAGGATTTTTTGCTAGTGAGAAAATGGAATGTTCAATCATTTATTTTAATAAAACGAGAGTAATTACAGTTTAGGGTCACTCAAAGCAAAAGGATTCTGGTCTAAAGTCCAAATCAGTTAAAAGTCTGAAATGCGTTTTGAACACTGACTGTGAATAAATTCAGTAGAATGATCCATTTACCAAAACAGGCCACTAGCAACGGTTGCCACAGTTTATATCCCTTGGTGAAGTTTTAATGATTAACACATAAAACAATTAGAGATGCACCAAAATTGTGGGCCAATTATGATATCTGATATTTTTACATATTTAACATTTTTATATATCTGCCAGTGCTGACACATAGACATTTATAAATTGTAGAAATTGGGCCTACATATACCTGGATTAGCATGATGGAGAAATACAACATTTGCTTGTAAAGGGTTACAAGTCTAGTAAAATGAACAAAATGCAGACATTTTAGTGTAGTAGCTCAGTGTCACCTTAATGTTCTGTGCTTCCAGAGTACAATACATACAGCACTAAATACTGGCTTAAAATATCAGTTAAATCTTAAAATTTGTCCCATAATTTTATTTGACCAGTTATCTTCTGATCCTGATATGATTCTGATTTTATCATGCATGCTTAGAAATAATTCAATTGTTTGCAGGCATTTTAATTCAGAGAACATAAATATTTAATTTAAGTAGTACATAAATCTGGGTCAGTAAGCAGTACATAAATGTGCTTTCAAATTTGTAAGAATTTTGGGAACAAATACTTTGGGAAGAAAAGCTTCTGTATGTTTTGTGTGTGGACGTGTGACAGGATCAGCAGAAGAAAGGTGTGATTGTGGCCACAGACTGTAACTTCTCCATGGCAGTGGCCTATCATGCAGTGGAGCTGAGGATTCCAGTCTTTGTTATTATGCCTGCGTACAGCTCTCCTCCTCGGCTGCGCATGTACCGCGACTATGGAGCAATGGTGATCTCCTACGGAAGCACAGCACGTGACTCTCAGAACCATGCCCGCCACCTGGCCAAAGAGAATGGCTACCTCTGCCTGGAGGAGTGAGTACCTCATCCAACTGCTCCATTCTGTGTACACACTGAAACCCAACACTTAGTGACCATTATGATGACCGCTTGCCTGTATCCCCATATGCCTCAATGGAATTCACTTATATCCAAATGAAATCAATGTACGCACTACACCCCAGACTCAAACACTCAAACAACCTCCTCAAAACTAAGACACACATGGACTAGATGTAATCAAAGTCTTAGCCTGGTATTTTTTTTTAGTTCCACAAAGACAGTGTTTTCTCAGGCTAAAGCATACATTAGCATTTTATCAGTGAATCATTTGCACTTCGTGCTTTACCTCTCTGGGGTTCATCCATGCATTAAAGCATCCGCCTCCATCTGTCCTCCTCTCTACCTTGCAGGGATGACAGTGCGGTGTATCTGGCAGGTCTGGGTACAGTAGGCATTGAGATCCATGAGCAGGTGCCCAAGCTGGACGCGGTCATTGTGCCTGCTGGGGGACAGTGCGGAGTGCTGGCTGGCACTGCGGCCGCCATCAAACACCTCAACCCTCGCATCTCGGTCATAGTATGTGTTAATGAGGCTCTAACAGCACTATGGATACATGCTTTTGTCAATATCTAGACAATTGAGACAAATCATACAGGAAAAGTCTAAGGCTAAAACACTGTAATAGATGCCACATAATGTTCAAAAGATGCCACATATTACATGTCTGGTGTATTTAGAACTTGGTTGCAAGCAAGCTCCTAGATTCATCAAAGGGGAATTCCACCGTTTTTAAAAAAAGAGTTTTGCATAATTCAATTGTTGAGAAGTAAACAAAGTCTTTCAGTATGTTTTGATGTGAAATAATAAATTGTCGAGAAACTGTAGAGGTTGTAGAGATTTTCTTACAATGGTGGTGATAGGAAGCAGGGGCTGTAATGTCTGCAACACAAATAAAACCTTTTTATTTAGTATCCATAACCATCAGTAAACCTAGTCAGAAGTCAAACTACAAAAAATGATAGTACTTTTTACAAGAGGCATCACAAAGCAGCTTTACAGAAACAAGTGTCTTCTGAGTTTTTATATGTAATGTTGATGATAGTGAAATAGCGGTCAGGCTGAAAAACCTTCTCTGGGCACTATTTTCCCTTACAACACCCTACATGAAACTCAAAACAAGTTTTAGGCCAAAACCCAATCTCAAAAATACTGTAAAACCATTTCTCAGGCAGCGTATTTGTAACTTCATGTAATAACTTTCTGTGAGGGAGCTTTTAAAGGCATTAAGCTCTTCAGCTGTCTGGTTCCAATCACCACCACTGTGAACAGTACTGATTTGCTAAGTTTCGGTAGAATGGAGCATTTCATATCAAACCACTCTGTATAACTTTGCATCTTAACCATTTAATTATACAGAAAATCAAAAAAATTGGTGGACACCTTTAACTCGTACTTATTACTTACTACTCGTATGTATTACTTAGTTACCATTTCAATTATATAAAGGTGTTATTACAGTACTGACTATATTCTAAAAATACCAAGAAGGCAATTGAGTTAAATACTCAGGTTCCTAGATGCACTGTCTGGAAGCTCTGGGAACATGATTATGTTTATATCATGTTTAATCTTCAGTAGAGAAGCCTTAATCATGTAGTAAACAGTCACCATACACAGTCTCTCAATGTTCTATAGTCAATAAAACTGCTGATTTTTTCTGATAGGGTGTTGAGCCAGAGGAGTTTCCACTTCTGCTTCAGTCCCTCAAAACAGACTCTCCTATCAAGGATCTCTACTCCACCCCGAATAAAAAACTCTATGGAGGTAGCGTTCATGTGTCTACATATAGCATCCACCCCCAGTTTATATCTCACTGACTAGTCATGTCGAGGGCCAAAGCTTGCTTTAAACATTCTCCTGTCTTCCTTATCCAGTTGTGATGGGCTGTTCCACATTTAGACACAGCTTTGACATGAGCTCTCGCCTTATTTCACAGATTTGGTGCAGCACACTTTGGGAACACACACTTTCCAGTTGGCCAAGAAAATGGTGGATAAAGTCATTTCTGTCAGGTATAAACCTCAATTTCGAGGTGTCAGAGCTCAAAAGTAATAACTTGCCAAACTTCAGGGGCATTAATATGCATTATCTGCTCCTTCATCTTTTGATCTGAACCATCAGGTCTTCAGCACCCATAATACTTTTCTAATCACATTAAAATGTCTGACAGATTTCTAGTTTGAAGTTTGAGGACCCTCACAAAGCTGTAGCTATACAGTTACAGACCTGTAACTCCAGTGCAAATGAAAGCTGAAGACTACTGATCCTTATCCATTGTTCTTACCACAGGGAGGAGGACTCTTTAGTGGCCATGCTGAGGTTTCAGGAGTACGAGCGCACCACTGTGGACACTGAAGGAGCCATGGGATTGGCAGCCATCTTGGCTGGCCAGCTGCCAGAGCTAAAGGGTAAAAGGTGAGCTGAACTCAACTCCCCTCACTTATTCCATTCACTAACATTACTGACTAAGATATTTAGGAGCCAGTCAATGAAAGTTAGTGTGTACAGGGGCAATATGCTAATGAGATGAGAGTTAACACTGTTATGATACGTCTGCTGGGAAACATTTAGCTGTCATGCTAGCAAGAAGGTTTTGTGTAGTACAGTGTAATAATACTAAACCAAGAGATTAAAATAATTTACGATAAGATAGGGAGTGTACCTATGTTCCTGGGTCTTACCTCAAAATACCTTACCACCCTGAAAGAACTAACATATGGTTTTTTTTATCTATTTTAGTAGATTTAAATCTATGTTAGCTAGAACTAGCTAACAATGCTGTCCAATGTTAGTAATATAATAGTGTGAAATTCAAACATAATATTGTGAAATTCAAAAACATTTAAATCTTAATGTCTGTTCTCTGAAATGTACAACAGCAGTGTGTTTTAATAAGGGAATTATTAGAGATTACTATATTGAGACATTATTTATTGAACATTTAAGATATGTACTTTTGAAAATAAACCAGAATTACAGATGTTAATCTTACTTTCATGTTGAAAACGTTATTGAGAAAACATGGCGCTGAAACATGATGAACACAGAGCATTTTCCCTGAAAGGTCAGTGTTTTTCTGAGAGTGTAATTGATATTAGCCGTAAACACATAATTGTATGTGTGTGAATTGTCCCATACAGGGTGGCAGTGTTAGTGGGCAGTGCTAACATGGAGCTGGACCTGGTGAGGCAGTGTGTGGACAGAGCCCTCGTGCTGGATGACCGTGTCAGCCGCTTCACTGTTCAGCTGGGAGACTGGCCAGGAGACATGGCTAAACTACTGGACATGCTGGCCCGGGAAGATGTGAGGTGAGTAGGAAAAGAGTTACAGGGCAAATGCTTGACTAGTGATAACAACACTTGATCATATCTGCAGTTAGTTTCTCCGTAAAGCAGGAAGGTGTTTAGAGACCCCCAACACCGGAACCACTCAGACACACTTGTACACAAATGAACAGGAAATGGGGGCTTGAAATCTTGAGGGGAAAAAAACGGAGCAGTTAAAATTATATGGACAAATATGATTTCCTGTAATAGTCTGAGTAGTTCTAGATTCTCCATCACTGGCATGCCAGTTTATTGTACCCCAGAGGGCTATTGGAAAATCATGAGCAGCATGAATTATACGCTGTACTGATATCCCCTTGGACATTATCCAAGGAGAAGGATAGCCTTTCTTTATGTTACACTCATAATCATGTCGTTGTTTCAGTCAGTCACTCATGCTCTAATGAGACAGCCTCTCTTCGTGTTTAAAACTCTATCAAAGCCTCCAGACAGCCAGATAAGCCATCTCTGCCTCACTGAGCAGAACATTGGACTTCAACATCTCCCTTTTTACATAAAAATACTTGCACATTATGGATCTATTAAACTATGATTATAATAATAGTTTCACATTGGAGGAGTGTATGCCCCAATGTACAGTTAATATGTTAGTTAGCTGTTTTGTTAGCATTGCTACTTCAGGGCCTGGTTATGGGTCCACCTGTTTGTACATTTTGTCTCATCACTGTCATGTGACAATGTGTCTGTTATTAAACTTATAAAACTTGGTCTTCATCTGAACTCCTGCAATGGCGTAGATAACTAATGCACTGCAAAAGGATGTACTATCTGTGTTTTGATCGATTTTGAATGATTATTCCAGCCTTCAAATCTTTGCCTTTAATACTCTCCTTTTCAGTCAACATAATACAAAGCATGTGGTTAATATTTGAAATATCTGAAAGAATCATTGGTTTTTATGGTGTATGCTCTTCAGTTTATGTAGTATGCTGCATGGCTTTCAATTAACCCCTTTTCACAATAGCCATACATGCATAAACAGCCATAAATCTCAATTGAACTGTGCATTTTTTCTTCAATGACATATTTGTATGATGGAAATGTGCATCATTTACAAAACTTTAAGCAGAACAGATTTCTGTTTTTTTTTTAGATGAGCGAGCCACATTTCTGAAAGTGTTTTTATCGTGTTTAAATGCTCTCGACATGGCTGTCTTTTTGGAGAGGTGTGAATTGTTTCCACCGTTGGGGGTTCTCACACTTTCCCTTTTCCACTGCTCGCTAGCAGGTCAACATTTCACAAACAGATAGCTAGCAGTGTCCTAGTTAAAGTGTTTAAAGAACTACATGGAAAAATATTTTATTTAACTGCATTAAAAATATCTGACTTGGCACTGGAATGGCCCGTAGGGGGCCTACAGAAAGAGGCTACACCCAAAAAAGCCAAAAGAAAAACCCCCAAAATGTTGTCCCCCAATGACTAATCTAACTATGCCACTGCTTCAACAACACTTTAAAAAATAGAAAAATACAACACAGAAATATTTTACTTTGAGTACATGAATGTAAAGAGGCTATTGATTATCTTTATCACACAGGGACTTGTAGATAAGCCATTTGTGTCCACCTCTCCTCTCTGACATTTGCACATTTCCTCTCTTCTCCTCAGGCTGCTGGACGTTTGCCACAGTCGGTACAGTGACAAAGCAGATCTCTTTAAAGCACAGGTGAGAAATCGTTTCCTGTGCGAACCCTCTAACTGTCTGGGTTGCGTAATGTAGATGTGATGTCTGTCACTTCTGTGCACTTATGTAATGCTGTGTGGAGCTTAAAGAGTCTATCACTCTATAGAGCTGCTCAGCAGACTCAGGTCCCGTCAAAGTTGGTGTTGGTTATATCTGTTGGCTCAGGTTTTGGTGTCATGTTTGAACAGGTTGAGTGTGTTGTGGAGACCAGGGATAAGACTCAGAACTGCCAGCTCCGCCGGACACTGGCTGACCGCTACCCCACACTGCGCTGGTTGGACCGGTGAACTCAGCAAGACTACTGCCACTATGATTATGCACACACATATGCACATACTTGTATAACATGCATGCCATCTACAGACGTAAACACATACAATCCAGACAAAACAAAGACACAAATGCACACACACAGCACAACATCCACACCCACTGACTCAGTGATAACATGAACTCTTTGCTGTAAGAAATTAATATCTATCAGTGTATGCTACACGTTTCAGTCGGATGAGTAGTAGTAAGTTTAGAAATGAGAAAAATTTGTTACATTTCCGCTGTGGATAAGAAATGAATTCAACACACTATTCAGGTACTATACTGCTAAAGATGTGTGAGCAGTCCGGGAGTTTAAATAATACAAATCATTTGATGTTCTATAAAATGTGTTATATTGTGTTTTACCAACCATTAAGCACATCAATCGCAGGCTTATTACACACTAAAGCTTATTATTCAGTAAATGCATGGACTTGCAATCTGGTTGAGCTGTTCTTAGGTTATTGAAGTGTGTAATAAAACTTTGGGCCCATCGGTGAGCCCTGGCCATTTAAGGAGTTCAGGTAAAATGGAAGTGTCATAATACTATTTGCCAGTAAATACTGATACATTGGACCACTAAAATTTGGTGATTTTTGACCACCTGTAAATACGTGTTTATAACATTGTATGTTTAATGTGGTACCTAGATGTATTTCAATTAAGATAATATACTGTTCTGTCCTGGAAGACTGTGTTCCCGAGTATTTCATCCACAATAATACACTTATAACTCTCATTCACTCCATGATGACCTCTTAATACTGTCTGAGATGAAGACCTGCTCGTGTGCTGATGCCCTACAACTCCCCCAACAGCTTCCATCACCTCTTATCATCCATTCCATTCATCATTCTAACAAACATGCTTTTTTGGCTCCCATCTGGGTGACTGAATGCCAGTTCTTAGGCGCATTACAGACTCAAATGGTCCATGTTAGGATCTTCTGCTGAGGGAGATGAGTGTGAAGATGGATGGATAGCTGAATGAAAGTGTTGCAGAGAGGATGACACGCTCTTGAGTGAGGACCGGAGAGAGTGCTGGGTGAGACAGGTGATTAAGGCTGGCTAATCCTTTAAGTCCATTAGTTAAGGTCATTCTCTCTCCTTCAGCCACATTGACACACAGTTATATCCACAAGCAAACACACAGGGTATGAAATGCCTTAAAACAGCCATGTAGACTCCTCAGTCCTGCAGTCTATTTACTGCTGAGTACAAGAGAACAGTAAATAGCAAAGAATGGAATGTCTTGGAATTTGTAACACATTAAGCTATGAGAAAATCTTACATTTGCTGGAATTAACTGGATACATGCTAAGAAATTTCTAAAACATTCTTGTGCTATGCGTTCTGAGATTTTTATGTTCTTGTGAACCAACAGTTGATGAAAGAAAGGTTAAATAAGACTCACATTCTTAACGCCTCTAGCAGAGGTAGGCAGCCTGTGGTTGAGGAATGCAGGAATTAAGTGCTCAGGCCTTTAGAGAAAAGACCAAGGTTAAGCTAAGAATTGGAGCAAATTCACTAAGAATGGCGTCAAAACTACAAGTTCCCGGCAGTGGTATGTTGCTCAGAGCAGGGCATGTGAGCATTTCATAACCACAGCCAAATTACTTCGCCTTACTACTGGAGAAAATAAGAAAGGTCTGAGATCAGCATTTGATTTATGTATCCCAATTGGATTTTATATCATTTTAACACAGGTACAAAATAGGTGGCCTAGATTAAAGGATGTACCCTAATATATGTGCTCCACATAGGTAACTCCAAATCTGCTTTCAGGCCTATTTAAAAATATTTTAGATTATCTACAGTTCAGCTGAATCACTGCCATGTCTGTGATGAGTGCACTTAAGATTCAGATGTAATTACATAGAACCATACTGTAAACAGCAGGGTTTAATTTGATTCAGATCAAAATGTGAAGTGTTTACAGACATACTGTATTAGAAATAAATAAAAAAACAAGTAGATTAATATGACAAGAGACAAAAGTTAAATCACTGCTTTATTTTTCAAAAAAAGAAAATTAAACCCCTTCACCTATGACAACATGTGAGTTGTGATTAATGGAACAGTTAAAACAAAATTCAAAAATCATTGCAGGTAAGGCAATACCATAAAACTGTTCATTTCTCCTAAAATTTCACAAAGAATTCTGTCTATTCTGTGTTGTTCCCTCATAAAATGTTTAAAGGCACTGCATCAGCATCCCAACCCTGGTCATGTAGGCACACCGCCCTGCTTTAAACACAGCCACTTCAACACAGTAAGGGATTGTTAATGAGCAGGGCATCGTAGTATTACGATGATCTTAACTGGTAGAGAGAGTGTTTAAAGTAATGCTCGCTCTACCATTTAACAAGAATCTTTGTGATATGATGCTTTTGGGAAGCCCAGCCCTGATTAGATCAGGTGTGCCTGTAGCAGAGAAAAAACTAAAATGCACAAGCCAGTGAGCCTACAGGACCAGGGTTTGGAGATACTGCGCTAAACAATTCAAAATGCTGTTAAATTATATTTTAAAAATATTGTTCTTTGCAAGGCCTGTTTAGTTTTACTCATTTATAAAATCTGAACACTGAAATCCTGTATTCACTGCACTGAAATAAATAACTGATATCTGCAATGACGTGTGCTGTGAAAAGATAAGGCCCTGACTGATTTTCTGCATTTCTGCATTTTTTTTTTCACAGTGATTAAACACACAATCATCAGGTATGGAAAAAGTAATTCCCTCCTCTGGTGACCCAAATCCAGTTATGGGGTAATTAAGGTCAGCTGTTAGAATCCTTTAGAACAATCAGATTTGGAGCAGCCTTGGCCAAAAGAAATTTAACCTACTTTGCAGAAGCTGGTGGAGCAACCAGTTACTGAGTATAGGGGGGGGGGCAGGAGGGAACTAGGTGTTCAATCACTTTCTTTTACAAATTCTGTTAATGATATCAGCATTAGATCTTTATTATTTGGTGGTTCAGACTGACATGTATGGTTTAGATGTAGGTTTTGATTAAGCTGGGTTGACCAGTTGATAGTCAGGGTGAAAAAACAGATGATCAGATGTAAGGCAGGTCATTTTTCACAGCACTACAGGTGATCATGATTGTGTTGATGTAGGTCTATCTACATATTTTGTAGCTGGTGATTTTTGCCACTGTACCTTTTCAAAATAACCTCTTTGAGCAGAAATATGCTTGGAACACAATGCTAACTGCCCAGCTCTGTCAGCTTCACCAGGCAGACACCCAAATGACACAAACACTGCCAAATCCCATCACTCAGTGAGAACAGGTCCAGTTTCACTCTCATCAGTTCCTGCCCACGGACAGTGTGGAGGACTACTGGGCCTTGACATTGAGCTGCAGAAGCAGTGTTCTAACTGGATGAGCTGCTCATGGCTAGTTCTGGCTGTTGACAATGGCAGCCATAGCTGTTGTCCATTAGTGGAGAAGTCCTACTGAGAGCTTACTGAAATATTAAAGGTTCCCCATACACTAGGCTAGGAGGCACATAATATTAATTCTCCGGCCTTAGATTATAACCTCTTACACAGTAAGGGCCTGTATGGGGGTCCACACTTTCCCTCAATCCCTCACTCTCACTACTACATAACTTACATTCCAGTTTCATAGCAGTCAATGAATAATTCATAGTACTTGATATGTCTTATGATTAATGAATAATAAGGTGCAGTGTAAGGGGTTAAACACAATCAAATTCCAGCTTCTGAAGAGCATGTGCAAAACTGCATATTATGAGTTGCTACTGCTAAGGCTTCTCCCATAATGGACAATAATGCAAATTGTCTTTAGAAGGGGAATTCAAATGATTTATCAAAATGTATGCATAGTTGGATGGCTAATTTGTAAACAAAGCCATTCAGAATGGTTTGGCATGAAATGCTTCGTTTGAGAAAAACTTGCCAAATCAGAATTGTTTGAGCATTTGATGCCTCCAAAAGCTACTTTACAGAAATGTATTACAAGAAATGATTAGAAACATGCTGCCTGATGCCTGAGACATTGTTTTACAATAGTTTTAAGACAAAGTTTTGGCCAAAGACACATTTTTAAAAGCCATTCATGGCAGAGAGGCATACACAGTGCATTGTAAGGCAAAATAGCCCCCTAAAAAACCTGTTTGAACCTCAGATTTACCACTATTTTTTACATATTAAAACATTTCACTGCAAGGTTGACTGGTGGTTGCTATCACCACCACTGTAAAGAAATCTAAGTTGGTGAATTTCTCTACAATAAACCATTTCACATCAAACCATTCTGAATGACAACCATAGAATTATTTAAAAGCCTTTGTTAATGGAGTACTAAAATTGGCCTTTGTGTTGCAGCAATTCAGGTTGGGTCATTAAGGCTTTCTCTAGTGAAATGTATAGAAAAGGTCCCTCTTAGCAGCTACAGCCATATGAGAGGTAGTGTTATTGGGGTGTGTAGTCCTATTTCACAGAGGTCACTTGTGATAGTTTTGTATAACAGCACCTGCTAAATGTAAATGTAATTGCACATCAGCATAATCTGTTGTGGAATGTGATTCTGCTCTGTGTGAATATGTAGAAGTGTTTTGTTAAAAAGATCTACCTAGTCTTGCCTCCCTCACTGAAAAACGCAGTTTCTGTTCATAGTAATCTGTGTCTGCAGCTACTCATTGCTGTTTGGCACGGCGGTCAGGCTTGTATTTGAGAAGCAAACCCAGAGAAGCAAAGCCAAACAATACTGTCTGAGCGAACCACAGGAGACGAGTGGACAGGCTGTCAATGCCTTTATCACTGCAGAGAGAGAAAAAGAAACACGCACACACACACAGGCACGAAGAAATGGTTAGAATTACATTGACGTGAAAGAGCTACAGCACCAGTAGAAAATATAGCGCTCTACTGCCCCCCTGTGGCAGAGTATGAGAAAAACCTCTACAGCTCCTGCTGTCCGTGTAATTTTACAAAACCTAAACAGGTTACCAGAACTCAGTGCCCATCACATATCATTGCAAACATAACTTTTTGTTTTTCATTTTTAATATTTGACACAATTTGAAACTACCCGGTGCACTTTATATCATGTGAACATTTCATGACAAATTGACCATTATGACCAACAGTAGCAAAATTACTTACAATCTTACATTAAGGTATATTATAATACGGATAGTTTCGGTCCTAAAATCTGATTTGCTGAGCCGCGGTCGAGGCCGTTGCAAAATCCACGATATACGCACGTCTATGACCGCCTCACAACAACTGAACTCTGTATTACTGCGCAACAGCATGAAAAAAATCCTTGCACTGTTAATGGGACAATCTTTGACTCTCATGCTGCTCACATGGACCACCGAGTATACTGATGCAGTAAGAACCCGTCTTTGTTTGAACTGAGGGGCTGGCAATTTAAGTTCTTGGCTAACTAGAACTAGGCTGGTCAGCTAGCTAACAGGCTAAAAGATAGCAAACAGCCTTAATATCACAGGCTTGAATTAAAGTACTTACGGTATGATTAACTGTAAAACGGCAGTATAAAAGTAAAAAAATGTAACTTGAATGGATTACATGTTTTAAATGTCGGTTTCAGTCAGAAGTAGTGTCAAACCCAGGCTGAATCCCAAACGGCTCCATATTCCCTAAATAGTGTGCTATGAAAGTTTAGAAATTCTAGCCTTTACAGTCAAATGGTGCATCATTTATCGAGTATGGATGTGACTGAGTCCCAAAAGACTATTTTTTAGCTATATTTTGCACGGTTGGGGTGCAGCATCCAGTGTTTAAATTTCAACGTAGTGCACTGTGTAGCGAGCAGGGAGCCATTTGAGATTCAGGCCCGGCGAGCAGAGGGCGCCACTGTATTGATGCTAAATAAGACTTGTGGTGGTAATTTGGTGACCGAAAAAGTACTTAGAAAGCTAAGGTTTTCGCATTAAACAGTACTGACTTATCGTATTTTCATATGTTATACAACAAAAAGTTTAAAAATGCACGAAATAACATGATGTTCTATGTTGGCCGCCGTTTTATAAAAACAATAAGCCACGAGAGGCTGTGAGTCAGTGTGATTTTATCACAGGGAAGGGAGTTTTAGAACACCCTTCCTGTGATAAAATCGCAGTAACGCACGTCCTCTTTTGGCTTATTGCTTTATTAAAGTTAAGAATGTTTTTCTTCTTCAATAAAGTTATCATTTGTATTAATGTTACAAAAGTGTGAAGATGTTCCTTTATAACCAAGAGCCCTTTTTCCTACCTGCATACTTTCAGTGCTACCAAGGCTTCAAAGCTGTGGATGGCCCAAGCACACCACCATCTGAAACACACACCACCATGACACATATCATTACAGCCTTCACATACAACAGGCCTGCTGATTAACTACATCACACATACAGAACAGAGACTCACCCCTTGTACATGATGCTGTAATGTTCATTCACGAGATGCTTTGAAAGAGCACCAAGCGGACCCAGACTATCATATGGTACCTGATGTGGCCAGAAGACCACCCACTGGAAAACAAAATATAATGAGATTATCAAATGTTATCGTACTAGACTGGAGAATCACTGGCATCATTTGTGTTGGAGAAAAAAGGTAATTAAAGCACCTACAGTGCCCTTCACAAATATTGCCACCTCTGGTAAACATGAGCAAAACAGCCCTATAAAAAACACTTTTTACTGCTAATCCTTTTGATATTTCATTCAAAATATTAACAAAAATGTAACCTTTATTTCAAGCACAATGATTAAAAAAAACCTAAATCTTTTTAGAAAATAAATATTGTTCTCAAATCTGTGTGAGCAAGTTGTTGGAACTCCTTTATTTAATACTTTGTGTTGCCTCCCTTTGCAAAAATAACAGCTCTGATTCTTCTTCTATAATGTTTAATGAGACTAGAGAACACATGGCAAATGATCTGAGACTATTCCATCCTACAGAACCTCTCCACATCCTTCAGATTCCGAGGTCCACACGATGGACTTTCCTTTCATCCCACAGGTTATCTGTGGGGTGTAGGTCAGGGGACTGGGGTGGCCATAGTAAAACCTTAATTCTGTGGCCAGTGAGCCATTTTTGGTCCATACTTCACAGTGGGGATGAGGTACTTTTCTGCATGGCTATCTTTGTGTCCATACTAAACTCACCTCTGGTGTTTGTTGCCAAAAATCTCTATTTTAGTCTCATCTGAACATAGAACACACAGTTCCAGTAATGCCTGGCAAACCGTAGGAGCTTGAGTTTGTTGGTCCTTGACGGCAGAGGCTTTCTTCTAGCAACTTGTGGTTATATAGGTGGTGTTCAATTGTAGTTTGGGAGACGTTGCGACCCCAAGACCTAAATAATGTCTGCAATTCCCCATCTTTGATCCATGTAGATTCTTTGTCAAACCACCCTCCCCATTGTGCGTGGGATCAGTACAGACATACGTCCTCTTCCCGGAAGATTCTTAACATCTCCAGTTGTTTTAAGCTCCTTACTTTGTGCTCTGATAGTGGAAGCGGGGCATTTTCAACTGTTTGCTATTTTCTTGCAGCCATTTCCTGATTTGTGCAGCTCAACAACCTTTTGTTGTGCATCACTGCTGTTTTCTCAGCTCTTTCTCATGGTAATGGATGACTGAGGGAATTTGGCCTTTGTTTCATCTCATATATATTCCCCTGTGAATCAGGAAGTCGTGACTGACCATTTATGTGTTCCTAATCACTCAGGTGAACTTTAAAACATGAAAGATGAGTAGGAATACACTTTAGACTAGTTAGATCTCACTTTTAAGAATTTCTAGGGATGCCAACAATTGTGGCACACACACAATTAATAAAAATATTTTTTTTTCATGACAAGATTTAGTTTTTGTTTCTATCATTATACCTTAAATAAAGGTTAGATTTTTGCTAATATTTTGAATTAAAGTTTAAAAAGAATAAGTCATCAAGAATATTTTTTCAGCTCCTTTTGCTCATGGTTACCAGTGGTGCTAATATTTGTGAAAGGCACTGTATATACATAGATACATACATTAGAGACTAGTTAGATACAAGTCAAGTGGAGGAGGTTGCAATAACCCACACTGTAGCACGATATCTCACAGCCATGCAAGAAAGTAATAAAAATGAACCCAATAAAAAAGTGCATAGTTGTGTAGCTTATAAAAGTTTCCTCAAATTACATTTGGATTACAATGTGTTTGTCTTTACCAACTACCAATATTAGTATAGTACAGAGTGGTTTAGTATAACTGGTATGGTAGAGTGAAAGGTACAGCACAGGTGATGTGGTACAGTGTATGGTGTAGTTTTTTTTTTTTTTAATAAATGCACTTTTGACAGCTTACCTAGCTATTTGTAAGCAATGCTCTCTCTCTCTCTCTCTCTCTCTCTCACACACACACACACACACACAGACACGAACCCACATACCAAAAGCACTATTCAGCTGTTGGCCTGAGGGCCCACGGTTCACTGGCTATTCTTTACTAAGGCAGTCATTCAAGCTCTTTGTTTTCAGTCAGTTAGCCAGAGTATCTCATTACTAGCACCATACACATAAGTAATGCATGGCCCGTGAGTGGATCCTGCCTGAATACCTGTTACCACACTTCGACTTTGAACCTGCCTTTCTATCAGCTGCTACATGATGAACGAAGGTCCGCCAAACAAATCACCTCGTAACTCCACACACTTTAGCTCAGACCATTTTACCTTTGCTCCAGCTAGCGGCCTCACCCACTCACAGTTAAGACAGTCTGACAGGGCTCGCTACTCATGATGACTGGGCATGTCAGAAACATGCAGAGAAACTAACGCTACTTTAAAATAGACTAGAACTCATTTGAGAGTATTCCGGTGTATCTTTAACTTAAGCTACCTGTAGAAATCAGAACTAATGCTAAATGTAGCTAAGTAGGTACCAGATGAGCACACAAGCTATGACACGCAAGCAAAAAAAAAAGAAAAAAAACCAAAACAAAACACCACTATCTAAGTAGATATGTGAGCACTGAATACTGAGTATCTGAGTATTTTGGAAAACGTTTCTTTGCCCCAGCGAGCGTTTACATTGGTAAGAGCAACTTACTGTATAGTAACTCATCGACAGCGTTACAGTTACTATCCAGAACAGACTTGATCTCCTGAAATAAGCATGTCCATCACTTTTAGCCATCCTGCCCGCTTCAGCTCACTGCCCGCCTGAACTCGCTGTGTTGAGTGCAGAAATGTACTCAGAGCTACTGTACACACAGCAGGCGAATTCCAGCTTTCATAATAAAAGTCTTCAAACTGTGTATCCAGCGTCTCATCGGTAGAGAGGGGGTTGGGTATGCAAATCGATTTAGCGTTTAATACACAATTATTTATATTAACAATTCAATGTAAACAACTTAGTAGTACTAATAAAAGCATGACAGGTAAAAAATCGAGGCGAATTCCCTTTCATAATAAAAGTCTTCATGCTGTAGCCAGTGTCTAATCGGTGGGCAAATCGGTTTAGCGTTTAAAACACAATTATTTATTTTAAAAATTCAATGTAAAAAAAAGTTATTAGTACTAATAAAACATGACAGATTAAAAAAAAGCGAGGCGAATTCCCTTTCATAATAAAAGTCTTCACTATGTAGCCAGTGTGTCATTGGTAGGCAAAACGGTTATCGTTTAGAAGAATTATTTATTAGAAATCGATGTCAACAAGTTATTAGTACTAATAAAAAAAATCGAATTGTAACGTGAAGAATAAATTATGCAATTACATTATAATTATTTGTTTCAATTGATTTATGTCTAATAGTGAAAATTGTTACAAATTTAGTTCTCACAGTAAAAGTTTGCACATGTAACAATTCGTTCATTCAAACAAGTAATAATTACAATTTCCAACATGTCAAATTTCACTTTTTTAGTGTTTCTAAAATCTTCATAAAATGAAAAGCTAAAATTGCTTGTTTTAAATGGCTCATTACAGTATTACACAATCATTTATGATGCTTCAAAAGATCTACACAGGATTCTCTTGATCACTGGTGTTAAGGCAGTTTAAGTCCACTTAAACTAAACTACAAGGTTTTGAATCTCTTTGAATCAGTGAGTTCACTTACCAAAAACTCAGTGATTCAGTTTTGCAGACTAAGGCTGCTGGCTGCTCACCTGCTTTCTAAACAATAACTGAAGTAAAAACCCAACATAGGTTTGAATCCCAAAAGCCTCTACTACCCTTCTTTAAAAAATATCATTAATACAATAAAACAAATAGCATTAAACAGTATTCCACAAACAAGAAAAAGTATAAATCAGTAGAATATCCATTTTTTATTACAAAATGTTCTGTACATTTGCTGTTACATGAAGATCCCCAAAGACAAAAGGAAAAAAAATACAAATGAAACAAAAGCTCACAAAAGCTCACACAACAACTTCAAATGTCTCACAACAAAAGAACCAGTGCTCATTCTGTTTCTCACACTGTTTTATAATAACTGTAAATCAAACCTCTAAAAATATATGAAACAAACAAGTCCTGTGAAAGATTTCACATTTTCTATAGGAGAAGCCAGAGTGTAGGAGATACAGCGTTTGGCTTGAAGAACACCCTTCACAACTTCATGCCACCAATGTGGAACTGAGCACTGTTTACAAACTGTGAAGCCGCATTAACATCTCCAAGAAGAGAGACGTCGACGCGAAGCTGATATAAATAAATGTGTCTACAATACCATCCCAAAATACAGCATGAAAAATTTCCCTTCTTACGAAAAGGCTTAAGGGCAACATGTGTGAGCTGCAGCATGGAGATACTTTGTCATTTGGTAAGATGAGAAGTCAACATGAAAAACTCACAACAGCCTTCCAATATGGACTGTCCAATGAGCCTAATGGGTCCAAACCTCCACCCAGACCGGTGGACTGGTTTGAAAACAAGTGACTGAGGTACGATGCCAGTGTATCTAAATGGGTACCAACACTTTTAAAGGAGAAGGGCCAGGCAGTCACTTCAGCAGTTAATTATCTTGAATTACAGTTCCTGACGTCTTAAAATGGTGTTTGCATTGTGAATTCATGATGAAGTAGATGAGAGGGATTAACAGTCGACTGAGCCCTTTTCAGCAAAACTGGACAGAAGGTGACTCTAAAATGAAAAGTTCAAGTTCTATTTTCAAAATGAAATGTGCTAAGAATCAGTTTGAAAGGCCAGCAAAGCTTTTAGTGTTTCATTAAAAGGGTGCCCAACCTTTTAGGCAATTTAGTCCTGAAGTGGCATCAAACAGTTTACAGTCTGAATCAACAAAATAGAACAATAGGACTATACCCATTTCATAATCGCCTCAGTTCTGAGTGTTGTTAGCACTTAAACTAGTAGAACGCAGTGTTTTAACTGAGCCTGCTACAGCACAGTTACTGTCCAGTGCCTGACAGGCACTCCGGTAGGCAATATTGTGCCTGGGAAATACAGTAAAGGTAGTGAGAAGTGTTTCAAACTAAAGGATAGAAAGAAAAGTTACAAGTGGCATTTTTAATCCTCTTTCTCTTTTTTGCTTCTACTTTTGAGTTGACAGTAATGTCAGTGAAATAAAAGAGAAACAACCTTGACTAAAAAATCCCTCACTCTTATTCTCCATGATCATATAGAAATCAATAAAATATATATTTATATTACATTAATTTACACAGTTTGTAAATAACTGATTTTTTCATAAGCGAAATACAAAACAAAACAGCATCTTATAAAACAACTACAGTACATGCCATTGCACTATCGGCTAATATAATAATAATAAAAAAATATGTACATTTCCAACTGTCCTTTAATCTGATTTTCTTCAAGCCTCAACTCATTAATAATCACTCTTCCTCACTGTGTTCTTCCCCAGTATGGCTCATGCCAAGGCAATGTTTCCTATTCAGACCCATAATCGCATCCACACAGAAATACTGACAAAGTAATGCATCTTTGGCCAAAGTGAGAGGCTGCAGAATCTGCAACAGCTAGCTAACACTGTTTTCCTTTTCCCTTTTATGCAACTAACACTCATACACGTGCACGCGCACCCACATACACACACAAACACACAGGTAACATGCAAAAACGCATGTCAGAATTGGAGTCTATATCCTACAAATTGCAGCACACACAGCAGAACTGAGAAGGCCAAGTTTCTCTCAATTCATCATTGTCCTTATGAGGTCAAGACACACATTTACAGTAGAAACTGTACAATCACATACACTCATATGGCAGAAAAGGATGAAATGCTTCAAAATGGAACAAGGCATCAATAAATAGTGACGTAAGTCCCTGGTGACCCTTCAGAACCGAGGACACCCGTCAATCACTCTTGGTGTTCTGTGTGGCGTCTAGGTTCACCACCTGAAGCTCTGTCAAATTACTGCTGCTGCCGCTGGACTGTTGACCAATCACCATCTGTTAAACAACAATGAAACGTTAGCAGTGAGTCAATCCATCAGCCCTTAAAAATCATTTATTTTAGCTCACAGCAACATTAGCATGCCACTCCAATGCTCCTTTTTGTATGTAGCCAGAGACTAAGACCAAACCATATCATCAAACTGTGTTCATCAATAACGTAGGCAGTACACACATTCACACGTGATATCTTACAGCTTTGCTGTCCAAGTGTGCCTAATAAAAATAATAATAAAAATAATTGAGGAGAATCTTTCAGGGCAAACATTTCCCCTTTTTTTTTGGTGATGATGCTTTGGGGATTGTGTAGAGTAAAAGACACTATATCGACATCACATGATTCCACTTTAAATGCTTTAAGGCTTTGGAAAGCATCCTTGGTAAAAGGAAAGAAGGCCTTCCAAAGTCAAAGTGCTAGTACATGCAGTGTTCTTGAGATTTTTGAACAAAGCAAAGAGAAAGCCCAGACTCCCCCCTGCAGTGAGTTAGTAGAGTCAGTGGCATGCTGGTTGCAGAGAGAATATTAAGAGTTTCACTTGTAAAGTGGAGATCTTGCCGTACTGGGTGTAGCTGCACTGCTGAAACCGGGATCTGAACCGTGCCAGGGGGCGCTGTGAGGAACACCTGAGGAACAGCACCTAAGGACACACACACACACACACACACACACACACACACACACACACACACACATTAAAGTGAGATACTACAGATGAGCCGTGTAATTTTTCAAAATAAGTGAGATCACAATAAATTCTTGCCAGTTGAATTTTACAGAACAGAATCAAATTGTACTGAAATTATTTGATTAGTTGATCAAGAAAATGCACTTATTTTATTGTAAACCGTTCTGTAGTATAGAATCTAGCATAAATGTGGCCATAAGCATCATATTGGGAAATTCTTCTATAAAATCCTTCAGAATATGGTAAAATTTCACAAATTCAGGTAATCTAGAAGTTGAGATTTTTAGTACTATAAATGTAGAAGAAAAGTGGATTTTAAGAAAAACAATTTTAAGAAACAGAACTCCATTACCAAGCGGTCTCTGACATCATACACCATTTGTGTTAATGTTGTCATTTGCAGAAAGGAAACAGACATATTTGAATTAGACATACCATGTTAAGTTATGAATGGTTTTGCCTTCTCCTAAAAAGATACTGTTTTCTAGATATTTCCTTCGATGACATTTTCTTCGAACAGCAACATTTAATGTGACATTTAATATAGTGGCTGGAAACTCTGTAAATAAAGCCTGGACCTTTCATCTTTCTCTTGAGTAAAAAGGCACTGTATAACTGTACGTTTGTGTATGTGTGCTCACTCACCTGTATCCTGGGCCTGTGCATGGGACACCTGCATGGCAGAGGCGCCCTGAGAGAAAGCGCTGAGCACAGCCAGGCCGCCGTCGGCCAGCGTGGGGGCCGAGGCATACATGAGCGTGTGGGGGCTGGGGTACATCATGTGACCTGCTACTGAGGTGGGCACTGACGACGTTACAATGGTTGCTGGGAGACTGACCGTGGCTAGAGCAGAAATAGTGTGAGATGGGAGTGAGATTAATACAATGAGATGAGATAGACAGTGTGAGAAATACAGGAAAAGAGCAAGTGAGAGAGAGAGAGAGAGAGAGAGAGAGAGAGAGAGAGAGAGAGAGAGAGAGAGAGAGAGAGAGAGAGAGACCAAAAGAAGAAAGCCAAAGAAGTAAGCAGTTGCACCTCCTTGCACTTTTAATCTTTAGGCTCAAGGTGGCAGTGTTGGACAGAGAAAAGTCCAAATTATGCCTTAAACTTGCACTCTTACCTAAATCTTTATACA